TGCTTGAATGCAGGTCCTAAATTACAGCTATGGAAAACACCAAACAGACAAAGACTTAACCCAGGGAGTTTCAGGCAGCTGATTCTCCCCTTAGCTATGAACTCGGTACCTTCCAAGTAGCATTTTGTAGAAATCGGATTCTGAAACCAAGTAGTATTTATATGCCTGCAGAATTCCAGTTTACATGAGCAGTGACTTGTTCCTGGATCTAATGAATGGGCTGGTCCCATTATTTGAGGCGGCTCTGGACTTTTGTTGGGTTTTTTTTTCTTTTCTTCGCACACAACACTCTTTTAAGCACTTTTGACATTTGGTAGTTCCACTGGGGAGAGAGTGCAAACCTTCATTTTGTGACACCACAGAAGCCAAATGCTGCAACTGTTGTCTGACCTTTACAGTAGCTGGGGATAAAATGAAATCCTTTGAATAAAAACCTTGCTTTAAGACAATAAACATAGGAATTAATTATGATATTTTGTCTACTATCAAGATTGTGGTCCTGATTATGCAGACATAAGCACCAATAAGTAACTATGCATGCAGATTTAATTGATTTCAGTGGCACTGTTAATGCAAATAAATATCATGCAAATAAATATGTGTCTGCAGGATCAGGTCCTTTTTGCACAGTAAGGCAAACTGGTCCCAGTTAATCCTATCCAGCAAAGCATTTAAGTGTATACTTAAGTACTCTGCTTCATAGATTTTATGCTGGTCCAGGGCCATTGCCACTAAAGGTACATTTTTGCAATAACTTAAAAATAGTTTTCCAATGAGTAGCAGTATTTCTATGACATTTCAGTACTGTAATGCATGTTTCTCTGTGCAGTGATAGTATTGAACTGCACTGTCATCTGCAATTGGCCTGATAAAGATGACTGAAACAATGATGGTTAAATGCACAGAAAGAAGAGCTTTACCCAGTCTAATATTAAAACAAACGTGGGTTTTCTCAAGATTGTGTCTTCTCAAAAGGAGGTTTGAGTATTTCTTTTCTAGCAGATGTCACAAGATGCCAGTCACATTTCTGACTTTCTCTTCACACTGTACCTATTAGTGTTGGAACTTGAGAAAAAATGCCATGCTGCCTACTCTGATTTCATATTACCCTGACATATATCCTCTGTTCCTTCCATCTTTTCTCTTTTTTTTTTAATGATACAAACATGATGCTGTGAACTTAAATAAATTATTTATACAATGAAAAGTTGGATAAGATTTTTTTTAAGTGGTCATTTCCTTTAATTAATATCAAGTACATTTAGTACTACATCTGAAAGTACTTTATAATGAAAAGCAAGTTATCTACTTTTTAGTGATGAGGAAACTGAAGGAAGCAGCAGTGGAATGACTTGTCAATGATTACTCAGTAAAACTGATAGATGCAGGAATGGGAACCCAAACCTTTTATATGCCAGCTCATTACTCTATTCACTAAGTCATGCCGATTGAAGAAAAGGTAATATCACAGTTCAGATACTACCGTGGTGTTCAGAACATTTGAATTAGATTTCCAGCTCTGTCCCAGACACCCTGTGTGATCTTTGGCAGGTAACTGAATCTCTCTACTCCTCAGCTCCTCAGATGTAAGGTGGAGATAACATTTCCTTTTTCTGTCTCGCCTGCTTGGCAGGTCCTGTCCTTGTATGTTTGAACAGCACCTAGCACAAAGAGGCTTAGTTTTCACTGAGGCCTCTAATCATGACTTCCTTATGCATGCAAAGACCCTGCATACTTGAAACTGAAGTAACACTATCTGATGCTAAAGATATGATGAATTTAGAAGCCTCTATTGATTACTCTTAACACAGGAAGTATATGTGGTATTTGCAAGAGCAGGACGTAGAAGCTGCTGGTAAATGATATTTTTAATGATACATTTTTGTAACATAGGAAGAACTAGGGAGATGCATTCCAGGAAGGGCACCTTGGCACTGTATCAGCCCTGATCTTGCAGATTTTTACACGTGCAGAACTTTACAAACAGTGAGCTGCCCCACTGACTTCAAAGGGATTGGATAAACACTGCATGAAAATAACCATATGCTTGTATCGCTGCAGGACTGGACTGCCCCCTATGATAGATAATAATATAGTCAAAGTAAACCAAAGATGATACATCTTACGTAAAAGGAATTGAGGCATATCTTTTACACTATCTTCACAAATCACTCAGAACCAAGGGGTCTAACAGAGGTCTGCTTCATTCAGCGTTTGAGAGTTATGTCTACATGGAACAATGCAGTGCTATGCAAAGATAACTGGAGCTAGCTGGGATTTTGGAAACACTATAGCCATGTTAGCAAGGCTACTTAACACATAAGAGTGAGGCACTGTTCCTGGAGTACCTCTTCACAGCTCTGCATTGCACTATGTAGACTTATCCCAAGTTCGAACTGCTCAGCATTGCACGACCAGAATGTGCACAGCCATTGCACAGTCTCAGTCTACACAACTGGCCTCAGACCCTTTAAAATGCGCTTGGCCACATCTTCCTTCCTTGAGCACACACAGTAACTAACATTAATGTAATCCAGAATTTCAAATACTAACTGACAGTATTCAATTAGTCTCAGAGATTCCCCAGGTATTGTGCAGACCTTCAGGTCCCTCTTGGGACATCAGCACAACTGTCAAGTAGCAATAAGTCAATTTGTCCTAGTGATGTCATTTTGCAGGGCTCAGCCATTCCAACCTGCACTAGTTTTTCCCTCACTCAGACCTTAGGCAAAACAGCTGACTCAGTGCCTGTTATCTCCCTGCCTTCTGGGATTTGGAGAAGCTGTTGCTTGTTTCACCATATTATGCATCTGCATGGAGTGACTACCTCTTCCAACATCATTCTTGTTTCAACTATCATTTCCTATTGTAGATACGTGCAACATTGCTTTCATGAAGTAGTAGCTACCAGGACCTCAAATCAAACTGTTTTGCCTTGTCTATCTCTCTGGAAGTCCCCATTGACAGTTTCTAACAATGCAGGTATTCTTGTTCTTGGCTTTATGTTGAACAAGATGTCAGCAGGTGACAATCCATGCTTCATTGGTGTCATTCTGTAATTTAACAGTGCTAATTACGGATCAGTCTGACACTGCATTTTTTAAAAGTAGGCGCTTCATTGTTTTGACACCATGTGCCACTGAACTGTTAGACTGGGGATAATGGGGACTAATACGGCTCAATCCATACTTCACAGCAAACTATTTTATCATGCTTATTTAATTGTGGCCCATTGCCAGATATGTCTTGTCTAGCAAAAATGAACTTAATATGTACATACCTCATTAGCTGAAGCATCTTCTATTATTACTATCTCAGGGAAACAAGAATAATCTAGAATAAGTTGTTGGCTAAGGAAAGGGTGCTGCTGGGGGTAAATCTATGCTGCCTTTGTTCCATTTTTCTTATGCCACCAACATAGGCTCTTTCTCTTAACCTGGTCCGTATTTCTGTTACATAACAAGGCTTAACAGCTACTTCAATTTACTGTTCTGTTGGAGGCCATATGAAGTGTCTTCAGATTTTCCCTTACATTTTTCAAGCCCTAAATGAACTTTCCGCATGTTTCTGTACCCCACCCCCACCTTAGGAATCACCACGCTGGTGCCTTTAAACAAAACCCCATCTAGTACTAAATGCTCCCTAAATTGATAACAGAGATTGGGAATAAGCTGCCCCACGTGAGAGGAGGGTGTCTGGTCTCTTTCAACAAAGGCCAAAATAGTTCATTGCAAATTTCAGAGTCAGACACAGATATGAAGTTTAACTATGGACAGAGATAAAAGGCTCTCTCTGTACTGAATGTAATGACACTTAGTTTTTCCTTGTGTCCATGATGTATAAGCCACTCATGTGCAGTTTTGAGCATACTGCTGAAAAAAGGGTTTTACCAGTATCCCATCTTGGAGACATCTGTGGGCAGCTTCATGTTGCAGTCATTGTCACAGAACCTCAGGAATGGGCCTTTAAGATTTTCTATCCCATGCCCATCAAGCAGTTCAGCAGAGCAATACTCAGCCTGCTGGTTCATGTGACTTGATTAGGTCCAAGTTTCCTTCCATAGTTCTCTCTCACAAGGAATCTTTGTATCCATCCTTTGTCCACTGGGGCAGGCATGGTAGTTATATTCTTAGCTTACTGAGATCTATCTACACACCTTGCTGTGTTGTCTCCAGTACAACTTACATTTTTGTTCAGCTTTAGCCCAACAGCGCTGGCTTTTCCCAAAAAATGATCAGGCCCTCTTGTCTTTCTGTTCCTCAGATGAAAATATCATCTACCTAGGGCAGAGTTGTCTAGTTTTTAGCATCTGGGGTCCACACACCTTGGGGGCTATGTCAGCAGAAGCCATGCA